TGCAAAATCTCAGCTCCTCAGATTAAATCTCATGCTCTTCCTCTTCTTATTTATACAGTTCAGCCACACTGGTCTTTTTTGCTGTTCTTCAGATGCCAAGATTACTCTTCTTTCTGGTCTTGCTCTTCTTGGATCCCTTTTCCTGTATACTCTTCCCACACCAAGATATTTGCATGCTCTGAGCTTTCTCTGCCTTTAGGTCTTTCCTCATATGTTACCATGTCATTGAAGACTCCAACACACACTGTAAAACAATGGGAGACATTCCTATACACTCCCATGCCCTATTTGCCTTAGCATGCCTAGTTTTGCACCACCGTATGTCTCTTCATGTGACATAGTTTACATTTTACTGGTTTGTCTGTTTTGCCTTACAACATCAATTCTAGGAATATCTTCCTAGAATTCCTATAGGGCCTAAAGAAAACAATATACTTAGTAAACACTGGTTGAAATAACAAATGAATAAAAGATGGAGGATGCTTTCTTGTATGTTAGAACATCTCCCCTTACAGTGTCCCATCCCAATTTTGAGCTTTAATTTATCTCCAGCAGATTTAAGATACTCATCTAAAGAAGCACAAAGTGAGAGGAAAAAAATTAAATAGAGATGAGCTCTTGGAAGAAAGCAGAAAATCGAGACTACAGGAGGGACGAAGGAGAAAAGCAGCAACTGCAGCTGGAGAGCTGGATACGAAAGGGAAGATGCAGAGAGTGAAGGAAGAACAAGGAAGAAAATGGGAGGGTGGGGGGAATATGCTGTGGGAGTCATGGCTTCACTGATGCTATGCAGATGCCAGATTCACCTTAGGGACTTCAGTGCCCATTCAAACCTATGCCGCCCCCTACCCCCTTACTGGATTTCTGGGTTGATTCACAGGTTCTGTTTTGACATGACAGCTCAGGGCAAGGTGATCTCTGACAAAAGGACTTAAAAACACACTCATGAAGCCCTACCTTCTTCTAGGTGCTGTGTACTGAGTGATTTCTTGGACCAAATAGTTATCTTCTTTTTTTTTTTTTTTTTTTTTTTTTGCTTTTTGGGTCACACCTGGCATTGCACTGAGCTACTCCTGGCCCATGCAATCAGGAATTACTCCAGGAATTACTCAGGGGACCATATGGAATGCTGGGAATCAAACCCCGGATTGGCCGTGTGCAAGGCAAATGTCCTACCCGCTGTGCTATCACTCCAACCCCAATAGTTATCTTCTTGAGTGTGAAAATTAACAGTGGGACCAAGGAGACCAAAACCAGAGCAGAGATCTTAAACTCAGGGACAGGGGCTCTCTGTAACTCTTGCACAGCTATCCGTTATCTCAAACCTTTGCTAGAGTTACTCAAGATTTATCCTCATATTCAAGATCAAAGGTGTGTATGAAAAGAGATCGACTATTTAACAGTAACACGAGCAGAGGACTCGGCATACGGAGAATCACTGTGGATGCCTTATTTCATCACAGAGAGGGTGCTCTATCTCCCCACTGGCCAGGAAGGCTCTGGAAATGAGAAACTACAAGAGTCTTGCAACTTCTTGTTAAATAAGTTTCCTGACACATGGCAACTTGTGATTAATTACTGTGTTAGAAGATAACATTCCTATAGAGATTTGCTGGAAGTACAGATGCTGTCCATGCTTGATTAGACATTGCTTAAGGAATGCTGAGGCATATTGCTGCAGTCTATTATTTCTGGCTATTTTGGTATCACTGTTATATTTATTTTACATAGCTTCCCATTCGGTAGAATTGATGGAGTTCATTTCCCAAACCTGTTTCTTCAGAAAAACAAGAAACAGGAAAAAAATAAGGCTATAAGGTATGTCTGCATATGCTTGTATGTATGAGAATAAGAAAAAATGAGGGCAAAAGACAGCATGAATAGTAGGGATAAAGTATTCTTTCTGTAACAATTTCTGTTCTGCAAAGGAAGGAGCAGAAGGGAGATAACTCGGTGTCCTTTAAGCCTATTTAAAAATTGACCCGTGGGCTGGAGATGCTTGTATACAACCAATCCTGGCTAGATCCCTGGCATTGTATTTGGTCCCCCCTGAACCACTGGAAGTAACCAGTGGTTCTTGGAGCACAGAGCCAGGAGTAAGCCTTAAATACAACTGGGTGTGGCCAAACCCTAAAAAAATAAAATAAAAACTGACCTATGTCCATAAGTTAAAACTGTCCAGCTATTAGAGATAAGTGAAGGGTTGTCATTATCCAAGCCCTATCCAACACCAAAGAAATGATGCTGATTTGATGTCTATTCATTCATCATTCATTATATGTAATAAATTCTCACTCTGGGCCAGATATTAAGGAGAGAGAAAAGGACCTTGGCCTTTTAGAATTTGTAAGTCCAATACAGAGATGTCTTCTAAACTAGGATTAAAAAAAGAGACTCATTCAAAACTCTGCTTATGCCAGTTGATTTACTTTCATGACCCATCTGATTTAAAAAGTAACAACAGCAATTCATCTCTCCATTGGTCACGATTCAACTCACACCCACATCTTTGGACATCATTCACAAATCCAACTGTAGCAGCCACGACTTGCTTACCATTCAATTATTTCCTAAAAAAATACTTTGTTGGCACATGCCCATCCATGTCAACCACACTATTGCCCATCAACATTTCATTATTCAGATGCCAGTATTTTCAATCTATGTTCAGGATTCATAGAGTCTGCCAAAAACTGTATTAATTTACTTATTTCAGCTAAATAAAAAAATCATTTAAAAAGGGATGATTGAATTTAGGAATTACAGTCCTTGGAGAATTAGTAATGCTTCTCTGTGTCCCTCAGGCCTCCGTGTTCTTTACTTCCCCTTGTCAATGTTATTATGAATAGACTAATTCAATAATGAGATCATTCCCCATAAGAGCAACCAAATCAATGCAGCATCCAGTCACACCTGGTTTCCCTAATCTGAACAAGGGAGGCTTTCCACAAAACTTAGCCTAAAATGGGGATTCTAATGAACACATACACAAATGCAAACGAAGAAAATGTCAGGAAGGTAGACAGAAAAGCAGAGGAACAGCAGTAGGACAAAAGGTAGATTGGAGAAGGTAAGAAATGAAGAAACTTATTTAAGATCTTTAAAACAAAGACCTTAGCACAGAAATCGTAATACTTGTGAAAGTAATGAAATATTTCATCATCCCCTTACAAGTCTTAATAATTGTATTTCCTCATCCAGTTATTCTAACACATGATGTTTTAATAAAACAAAATTAAAAAATTTTTTGGAAAGTCTCAAGAATTGTTTCATATTTTCTTGCATTTCTAAAGGTATTAAATGAAAAAAACACAGAAGTACGAAATATTAGGTAGGAACATCTTGGAATATCAAAGCCAAGTGATTTCTAGCCATGAAGAGATTTATAAAATAATTTTCCAGAGTGTAAACAGCACTAGAACACTGAGATGCATTATGATCATTGATCTTTTTCAAAACTGTTTAAGGTTTCACCAGAACTCTGGAAGTGCCACAGATCAGATGATTTAAATGGAAAGAACGTTAAGTCCACAGGGAGAGAGAATGAAATTCTCAAATTTTAAAAAGTGCATTATAAAGAAAACCTTAACACTGAGATCAGCAAACCTTAAAAGAGAAAGTCAATGAACTATTTACAGAAATCTTCAATAACATGATGAGGTACCATCATCCCCTCTGTGAAAATGAGAGAGAATGGGTTTCAACTCGGAGACAGAAGAGATGAGGAAATAGATTCATGCAAAAATACATCCAACACATGTTAATGAGAGGAAAAGAATGGAAAAAATCCAAATGTCTGAAAACTTGCAAACGATTAAATAAGTCACGCTTCACTTATGCCATGGAATATTTGTTCAGGCTTTACACGTAGTATTTTCAGGGCACAGTAATGGATATGGGAAGGCAATTTTTTAAAAAGAATATTATTGCTAGGAGAAAGTGCAATTAAACACGTATAAGACATTAACCCAGTTTCAATTTTGTAAAATGAGAAGTCATATACAAGCACATGAAAACTCACATACAGACAGAGCACCTGTGTGGAACCAGGAGCTAATGCATCAAATACTGTAGTCCCTGGGCTGGAGCGATAGCACAGCAGGTAGGGTGTTTGCCTTGCATGCAGCCAACATGGCTGACCCGAGTTCGATTCCTCCGTCCCTCTTGGAGAGCCCGGCAAGCTACCTGTGACATCTTTGATATGCCAAAAACAGTAACATCAAGTCTCACAATTTGTTGTGAGATGTTACTGGTGCCCGCTCGATTAAATTGATGAACAATGGGAGGATAGTGCTACTGTAGTCCCTAAGCTTTATGAGCAATGTGCATATGAGTCTTTGCATTTCAGCCCACAGATTTTAGGTAATGAGCATACACTACTTTTTAAAATCAGAAAAGTTACCTATATTTTGTAATATGAACTTAGGCTCATCGGGGGGGGAAATGGCCAACCTAAGGGAAATTAAACACGCATCAGATCTTCTTTACAATCTAAGAACTCCTATCCTTTTAACTCCCCTGATCTTAATTTTTTCTTTTTGGCTTCCCAACCAGTGCTCAGGAAGGTTGGAAGCAACTCTTGGACGTACTTGGCTAACTGGCCCAGTGGTTCAGCACTAGGGCCCAGTGATGCAGTGATGTTCAGGTCCTGTGGTCCTGGGGATCACCAGGCTCCCCCGGCAGTGCTCAAGGGCTTTCAGGCTATGACTTGGATTTTTTTTATTGGATGAACCTTCCTTGTTCAATGAAAAGGAACTAGGATATTCCATACCCTTCCCAGTCCTGCTTAGAGGCCTAACCAAGGTCACATCCAACAATGCTCAGGAGGCCACCGCGCTGTCTGGGACTGAACCAGGATCAGACGCATGAAGCTAAAACATGCATCCTAACCCTTGGAGTAAGTATCTCTCTGGCGTCCCCCAAATCCATTTTCACAAGTGACTTCACAAGCTACGCCCTCTTGACCCATGGCCGGCGAATGAGCCCTTCTGCCCTCCTACCTTGCAAAGTCCAGGTCAGCCTCCCGAGACATGGTGATGTTGGTCAGGTTCTGCTGAAGGACAAAGATGTTTCGGCACATTTTCTTGATGCCCGACTCACTGATACGCCTGAAGTACTGGGCGCCGTTGATGAGGATGCAAGAGATGAGGTGCCCCAGGCCTGGGGGAGCAGCACAGGGCCACAGGGAGAAAAAAGGTGCCGGGTCAGCACTTTTCTGCATACATGTATCACCCAGATTCATCTCTTCTCATCTCCAAAAACGTCAATGACCCAAGAATGCCCTCTGACCACCCCCTCCATCCATGTCCCCCCCAACTGTTTCCAATAAGTATACATGGCCCTCAGGTTTGTTGCTGGCAACAAAACCTACAATATTTATATCACCCGTCACTGGAAAATACCTCTGATGGGACCATACAGGGCTTAGAAGATATACCAAATAGTTTTAAACTATCCAAGAACAGAGGAACTCTTGTCTTTCTCTACAGATACTTTCGGAATGGAAAAGAACACACATAAATATAATGACGAATTTGGCCTACTCCTTTTTCTACCAAGCATATGGGAGTATACTTCTGGCACAAAAGTTGAGTGGGCACCTACATAAAGAAACTGATGAAAACTGGGGTCTATTGCCAGGAATGCTAATACACCTCCACACTGACAAGAGAGTCTGTTTCTAAAGGAGTCACTGGAAGGAACATAATCAGATCTGAAACACAAAGTCAATGAAGACAATGTAGCATCTGCTCCATTCCCACGGGACAAGGACTGAATGTTTCAGGAATTTCACACCTGACTTACTCTCAGAGCCAAAGGATCGTCTTAGAGTCAATGAAATTTGGCAAAAGATAGCTTGGTGTATCAACCAAAGAAGAGGTTCCATTCAGGATACGGTAGGTAATTAAGTTCAGAACTATCTGACAAGCATGTGGATATGTATTATTTTTAAGTTGGACTTTAATTCCAAACACTTGGAATGAGGTTGGCATCTCTTCTTCAATCAGTATTCTAGCAACATTTTCCCTAAGCCTAAACTGACTAGTAACAAGCCATATTCTGATTCTATTACTTTTACCTTCTATAAAGTCAAATCCCCTCTTGGAACTATGGGTCAGATTAGTGCTGAGGACACATCCTCAGGTACATTAACTCCTTCTCTCTTAAAAATGAGAAGTGAGCAGTGAGCATCCCCTTTGTCTAGCTGAGGGCAGAAACTCTCTTTTGCTTCAGCTATGATCACACAATGTGGCTTCCATGAACTCACCAGGGAGTTCCACTACAAATCCCCCTGCATGAGGAATGAAGTCAGAAGCTCTTGGCAGAAATACACACAGGGATTTTATGTTTTTGTTTTAGGTCACACTTCACTGTGCTCAGAGCTTACTCCTGGTTTTGTGTTCAGTGATCAGTCCTGGTGGACTTTGGGGACCATATGGGTTACCAGGGATTGAACCCAGGTTGGCCATGTGCAGCTTTAGAAATAGTACAAACTCCCTACCTATTGTACTATTTCTCTGGCCCCCAACATGGACTTTACATTTAAAATTAGACAATAGGGCCATGGAGATGACTCAAAGGGCTGGAGTTCCTGCTTTGCATGCACGAGGCCCAGGTATGATTTCCCCACTACCACATGGTACTCTGTGCATGACTTGGGTTAATTACCCTTAAACATAAACCCAGGAATAACACACGAGCACCACCAGATGTGTCACCTCAACAAGACAAAAACTATTCAGTGATACAAAATCTTTGTTAGTCCAGTTTTGGCATACCTGCCCTAAACTCATAACTTAAGGTCTCGTTTCACTCTCTCAGGTATAATGTAATCTATTCTATGTGCAAGTAATTGGGTGATGTATTATTTGTTGATAATAGGGATAAGTGCATTAGATAATCTTATAATTGTTATAAAATATAATAATACAATAGTGAATTGTTATGAAACTAGTGATGAAACCAACTAAAAATTGCACTTTATAATTTCAAAGACACTGGTAAATCTAAGCAACTTGTGTGATAAAGTACTCTCTTCATCCACCGAGGGAGACTGGGAACACTGGTGCCTCCCCAGCTCCCCTCTTAGGAAACTCAGTATTTAGGATTTTTAGTTTAGAAAAATATATTGTGAAGAGAAATAAAACCTAGCATTTTAAACCACAACATCTCAAAACTTTCCTTCCTTCCTTCCTTCCTTCCTTCCTTCCTTCCTTCCTTTCTTTCTCTCTCTCCCTCCCTCCCTTCTTTCTTCCCTCACTCCCTCCCATTCCTCCCTCCCCCTCCCTCCTTCCTTCCCTCTCTCCCACTCTTTCTTTCTTTCTTTCTTTCTTTCTTTCTTTCTTTCTTTCTTTCTTTCTTTCTTTCTTTCTTTCTTTCTTTCCCCTTTTTCATTTTTTGGTTTATAGGCCACACCTAGCAGTGCTTAGGGTTTACCCCTGACTCTATACCCAGGGATCACTCCTGGCTGGGTTCAGGGAAACATATGTGGTACTGGGGATCAAACCGGGGTCAGTCATGTTCAAGGCAAAAACCCTGCCCACTATATTTGCTCAGCTCTCAAATTCATGGCTTCTTAGTTTGCATCTATTCTATGTCAGAGGATGACATAGAATAGATTCATCTGTAATTCAAGCACATCTCCTGCTCAGTAGGATTTGCTGTTAAGAAATCTCTGGGCAGAATGAGAAGGATACACTCAGGCAACACTGCAGCTTCAGAGTATGCAGTTCCCCAATTCACAATGCTGGGGAAGGAACCACTAACTAATAACTAACCTTTTCATCACTTACGCTTTCTGGCCAGAGACTTTTTGAGATATTATCCTTCAGAGCACATCTCCACCCTTGGGACATAATTTCCCGGGAAAATAGGATTCTGCTTCTGTCTGAATTTTCTAGAAATGTATTTGTTCAAGACAATTCAAGACAATTACCACAAGGGTTCGGGGATGGTGGAGGGTAGTTAAGATAGAGGAGGGTCCATTATGACAATATAAGTTAAAAATGATCACTCTGGGCAAGAACTGAGTGTTGAAAGTAGGTAAAGGGATATGCATGATAACCTTTCAGCATCCGTATTTCAAACCATAATGCCTAAATTGAGGGAGGGAGGAAGAAGGGAGAGAGAGAGAAAGTGTGTGTATGTGTGTGTGTGTGTGTGAGAGAGAGAGAGAGAGAGAGAGAGAGAGAGAGAGAGAAGAAAAGTGCTTGCCATAGAGGCAGGTGGGGGGTGGGGGTGGTTTTGGAGGGGTGGGAGGGAAACTGGGGACACTGGAGCTAGAAAATTACACTGCTGGAAGAATGGGTGTTGGAACATTATATGACTGAAACCCAATCAAGGACAGCTTTGTAATGTTCTATCTCACAATGATTCAATAAAATTTTTAAAAAAAGACAATTCAAGACAATAACTAGACCTTGATATTTTCCTCCCCATCCTGAGGTTCCATCCATCCTTTGGAAGATGAATCTTCTTAACTAACACTGAAATAATGCTGGGTTTAGTCTGTGAGACACTGCCAATAATATTAGCACCTGGGTCTTCATACGAACAAACTGAACTAGGACAAAATGGAAATAGAATTTGAAGTCCTTAATGGCGCCTGGGAGGAGGAATGAAACATGGAGTCATCTGGCCACCATGGCATGTACTGTGCCTTTCGAGGGTTGTGGTGCCGTTCACATCCTTCTTTGCCTGCCTAGCCCTAGAGGTGTGCAGAAAAAGGCCTTCCTGAAATTGTGCTTACCAGAAGTGTTAGCATTTTTTTTTCTTTTTGGGTCACACCCGGTGTTGCACAGGGGTTACTCCTGGTTCTGCACTTAGGAATGACTCCTGGCGGTGCTCGGGGGACCCTATGGGATGCTGGGAATCGAACCTGAGTTGGCCGCGTGCAAGGCAAATGCCCTACCTGCTGTGCTATTGCTCCAGCCCCAAGTGTCAGCATTTTCTGAGAGAAAACTTCCCCTTCCACCGACAATGTCAGGCCATGAGAAGTGCTTTAGAGTTCTAGTCTCATTGTTGTGTTTCTTTTATGAGCTCCACTTGAGTTAATTCATGACCCTCTCCACACATTCCCCCAACTCTCAGAAGTGGTGTGTCAGGGAGGCAGCGGGGCTGCCATCTGCCTCGTCTTGAACTAACTCTCCTACGAACCTGGAGCAGATGGCAGCCCTATTGCCGTCTACCTAGCCTTACCAGTGAGACGGGGAAGTGCGGCTTCAGTCCCAAAGGGAAAAACCACCCCAACCCAAATCCCCTTCCTTGACTCCTTTTGGTACCTCAACAGGACAGAAAAATCAGGAGAACCTGCATCATCTTCCCTCCCTCCCTCCCTCCCTCCCTCCCTCCCTCTCCGGGAAAGCAAAGACAGGGTCTGACCTTCGAATATGTACTGGAACTTGTGCTGCTGCAGACTGGCACTCATGGCCTCCTCAATGGCGCTGATGTCTTTGTTGAGCTTGACCACCAGGGGATCGTAGTCCATGCTCTCCACGTTGGCGACGATGGCATAGTTGCCCTCCTTTGCAAGAGGGATGAGATAGTGGAAACAGTGAACCCTGGGGAGGAGGGAAGAGAGAGAGAGAAAGAGAGAAGATTTATTAATGATGTTCCTGATGAACATCTGGGTGCACCTGTGGGAGAGAAAAGAGCTGTGGTCCTGAAAGTGCTTCTGTATCCCCCATCCACCCCTGCATTCACCAGAAAGGAGCTGTAGCTCTTCCGGGGGGACCGTGTGCAAGCCAGCTCCTGAAACCAGGACCTGATCCTTTGACGGGGTGGTGAGATGAGCTCTAAGATCCCTCTAGATAAGCTGTAAAGTTCCCCTGAGTAGCAAGATGGGATGCCTAGGACGGAAGTGACCATCACTGGCCACAGATATTGCTGAGTGAAAAGGGGAGGAGAAGGCACAGACCATGGGGGTTGGAGGCCCTGGAAATGAGATTCCTTTGCTTTCAATTCCCATTCACTAGCTGGGTAACTGAAGGCATGCTATTCTTTCTGCCTCAGTTTCCTCATTTGTAAAATGGGGATCATCACAACACTTGCCTCCTAGGGGCTTTGAGAAGTACACCTAGCAAGAGATTTGTACATGGCCCGCCCTGTTTTTTTTTTAAATTAAAAAATAATTGGGCTCAACATGCTGCCAAATCATCCCAGGTATATCTATCTCTGGGATGAAAACTTTGTGGCCTTCTTGGAATGAGGGTGGGAAGATTCCCCTCCCTTAGGGATAGACCCGACAGCCTTCAGACTATACCTGACCTTCTCTGGCATATAAAAGGCCCAGTTTTATAAGTTTTATATATCCTAAAGCATATGCCGCCACGTGACACCTTCTACAAATTTCACAGTACTAATAGCCTAGTAGGAGCACAGCAAATTTGATGGGGAAGGTGCATAGAAGCCCATAAAGCTCAATGAGTTAAAAAAAAAAAAAGACACAGAAGGCTCAATTAATCAGCTCAGGAAATCTTCAGACAATCACTTTTAGAGCACCATTGTGAGATATAGCAATTATCACAAATTGACCTTTATTGACTTATTTTCTGATAATCCCATTTGCCATTTTGTTGCAACAAACAGTATGAAGTCTATTTGTGTCTGCTAAGGAGAAGGTTGCAAAGTGGGTGGGAAACTAGGGACACTGATAGAGGGAAGGTCACACTGGTGGTGGGATTGGTGGTGGAACACTAAATACCTAAAACAATTGTATTATGAACAACTTTGTAAATAACAACTCTGTAAATTAAAAAAAAAATTGGGCCACATCTGGCGGTGCTCAGGGATCACTCCTAGTGATGCTCAGGGAAACATTTACAGTGGTGGGGAATTAACCTGGGGTCAGTCCTCTGTTACCTTAAGTACTATGTTAGCTCTCCAGCCCCCCAGTTCTGTTTTTAAAATTATTATCAACCTATGAATAAAAACATTTGCTAAACACCTACAATTTTGTTAGAGATTCTGCTAGGCCCTGAGAATTTAAGACACACAGATCTTCAAGGGTCCACAGCTGAGGAGGCCAAGCAAGACAAAATGACCAAAAGAGGTCAGTGTTTCAGTCAGAAGCACATGGACATGGGATGCTGTGGTAGAGTTTTAGAGGTTTCAAGAAAGGTTTACAGTAAGGAGACGATGCTTGAATCACACCAGGTGTATCTCTGTGAGCTTGGGGAAGACTGAAGGCCTGTGTCGAAATGGCCTGAGTCCATTTCAACACACACAATCCTTAGGTTCCTTTTTGTAGACAGAACTGCCAAAGGGAGAGAAGGATTAGCGACCCCATGACCTTTGTATTAAGCTATAATGAAAACAAGTTGCAGTTCAAATCAGTCTACCACACACAAAAGCCATTTTTTTTTTTTAAATAATAATCCATTGGCAGGCACTGTTCAAACAGACCATTCTGTAAGCTCACTAAAGCTTCCGCTGTGGGTGATTGGATGATCTTATAGAGGAAGGGTCACTGAGGAGAGACTGGTGATAATTCTGGGTCAGGACTTTGTCCTCCTTATTGGCATCATATAAAAAATACACATATTTCCTGAGAAAAAGGCTGCCAAAGTCTTGGGATGATGCAAACCATCATCTTTCCCTTTATGAGGCAGGCTTATTGAAAAATAATTTACACATAATAAAATTCCTGGCTTTCAGCGAACAAGTTATAAGTTTTGACAAAGAGTGGTATTCCCACCAACATAATCAAGTTATACTAAAGGATCATCTTTCCCAGAATCTCTGTGTACCCTCTGGAAGATTCCCCCCAACCCCACTTCAAGACCCTCCTAACAGATCTCTTTTCATGTCTGTGTACTTAGGGCACTACCAGAATGCTTACAAATGGGATCATGGGGCTGGAGTGATAGCACAGCAGGTAGGTCATTTGCCTTGCATGCGGCCAACCTGGGTTTGATTCCCAGCATCCCATATGGTCCCCCAAACACCGCCAGGAGTAATTCCTGAGTGCATGAGCTAAAAGTAACCCCTGTGCTTCGCTTGGTGTGACTCAAAAAGAAAAAAAAAAGGAAAAAAAGAATGGGATCATGAAGGATTGGGGCTTTCAGGCTGGCCTTCTTGCATTCTGCCTAAAGCATCGGAGATTCATCCACAACAACCAATCACAACCATCCTGTTATTCGTTGATTGCCTCCAGCAGGCCCCAGTAACGTCTCCTTCATCCTAGCCCTGAGACTTTTAAAAAAAGTGCCATATTCAAGGCTATTTCAGAGTTAAGAGAATGAGACCCTTCATTGTTACTGGTATTTGGCATATTGGGTACGCCACGGGGAGTTTGCCAGACTCTGCCGTGTGGGCAGGTTACATTCAGTAGTAGATTCATCCACATTGGGGTTTATTCCTTGTTCATGCTGAGCAGACACTGAAGCAACACAACGAAAACACTCACCATGGACATCTAGGTTGCTTCCAGCTTGGGGTGATCAATTTATTAAGCTGCTTCATGTACCAGTTTCTACCTAAATATAAACTTTCATAGCTCTTTGTTGAATACCTAGAAGACGGACTGGTAGATTCCGTGGGAAGTGGACATTTAATAAGAAGCTGTTGAACTGTTTCCCACAGGACAGGTACCCCTAAGCCCTGCTGTGTTTGCTCTCTCTTAGAGTTCCAGCTTCTCCTCGGTCTCACTGAATATAGTGTCATCAGTTTACAGATATTTTCAGTTTCAATGAGATTATTGACACAAAGTTCTAAGAACATATAAGGTATAAGTAATGACAATTTGATATGTGTAGAGAGAATGAGGATTCCCCCACCTAATTAATGCACACGTTCATCTTATGCTTTGTGTCTGAGGACACCGATGTTCTAATCTTTTTAGCAACATTTAGGGACATGACACTGATATCAGCTAAAGTCACCGACTTTAGCCCTCGCTCCTTATTGATTTCAGAGCTGAAGTGTGAACTCTCTTAACCGCCTCTTTCTATCCCCTTCCCTATTTTTCTATCATTGGAAAGTTTCCGTGAACCGTCTGAAACAGAAGCCACCTAGAAGTGGTACCGCATCTATGTCTGGATTCCTTCCCGTAAGGATGAGAGCCTACTTGTTATCAGTTTTAACAGAAAGTTCAGTCTTTCTGAGATAGACAGTAGCACCTCACTATGGTTCCCATTCGTACTTCTCGTTGACTAGGGATAAGCATATCTTCATGCACTGATTTGCCACCCATGTATCTTTGGATTTGTAACAGCGAACAGATGCCATTTGGGCTACACTAGGACGCGACAGCGAACAGATGCCATTGGGCTACACTAGGACGCGACAGGGACAAATGGAGACGTTAATGGCGCCCGCTTGAGCAAATCGACGACTAACGGGAAGTTAAGTGATTAAGTGATTAAGTGTATCTTTGGATTCACAAATTTTGCCCACTTAAAAAATGGATCATTAACTTTCTTCTTACTAATAAACAGTTCCTCATATAGTATGAAAATATTTCCTTTTTACATACAAATCTGAAGTATTTTCTCCTAGATTTTGGCTTATTTTTCTACGTTAATAATATCTTCCTGGGAATGTTCTTTGTTTTGATAGAATTGAATATATATATCCGGTCTAAATATTTTTGGAGTCTTATTTCAGAAGTATTGCCTAAACAAAGTCACAGAGATATTGATCTTTTTCTGTTTTGTTCTAAATTTTTTGTAGGTTTTGGTTTTACATGTATTTCTTTGTTTCCTAGGAACAGGAGCTTTCTTGTGGTTTGGTGCATGGGGAACCCCAGAGCAGGGATCAAGCCAGTGTCTTCCTGCATACAAAGCACGTGTTCCAGCCCGTAAAGTCCTTTCCCTACCCAGGAATGTGACAGAGTATTGGAATATTTTCATGCAAAGGGAATGTAAGTATCTTGACTATCATTCACTTCCATGACGGGTGATTATCTTAATAGCTGTTAATCAGTTAATGATTAATTTCACCAGTGAAACTCATTGTCACATCTCTGGGCTAATTACCAAAGCCTATAGTTGTTATGAAGATACCAACAGCTAGACTGGGCCTATTCCCCTCTGGATTGTGACCTTTTATGATTTAAAGAAATGAAATAAAGATGTAGGAAGAGATAAAAGTTGATTAGCCCTGAGTGAGACTCATGGCTAGGAAACGAATGGCTTCTGTGCTTGATACTTAAAACTAAGTAGCTCTTAGTGGAAAATAAAATCGAGCCCTTACTACTAAGGTCCTGTTTTCCACAATAAGCTATAGACTTATGGGCTGGAGCAATAGCACAGCAGGTAGGGCATTTGCCTTGCACCTGGGTTTGATTCCTCTGTCCCTCTCGGAGAGCCCGGCAAGCTACCGAGAGTATCCCGCCCGCATAGCAGAGCCTGGCAAGATCCCTGTGGCATATTTGATATGCCAAAAACAGTAACAACAAGTCTCACAATGGAGACGTTACTGGGCCCGCTCAAGCTAATCGATGAACAATGGGAGGACAGTGCTATAGTGCTAAGCTATAGACACCCCACCCTCAGACTTTGAGATGACCATGGATACAGGTTTGAGGGTGTGAGAGAAGGTCATTGCTTAGGAATGATAC